GCGCCCCGCCAGCGCGCACCCCTGAGCGCACCAGCGCGCAGCGCACCGCGAACCCAGGTGCGTGGCGCGAGCCGGTGCGCGCGCACCTCGGGTCCGCGCACCACGCGCTGCGCAACGCACAGGGTTGATGCGCCACAAGTACGGTCTTGGGTGATTTTGTAAAATGACTCGATGATAAATTTGTGGTGCAGCGTGTACATCTGCCTTTTATTTGCCTTTCTTGAGTTCAAGTTCCTTTACTCCATAATATACAAATTCACCCACATGCTTTTGAATCTATGGTGTTAAATTGTTAATTCTACTCTCTACTTGTAGTATGCTTTTCATGATCTCATCTTACGATTTGCTTGCCATGTATTTAGCCATCGAACTTCAAAGTTTATGTTTTTATGTTATTGCAGCATCAAAACGAAATTCTGAATTCTCTACAGAGGCTGGATTAAAATATTTCATTTTAGGTGCCTTTTCCTCTGGGATTTTCTTATTCGGTTGTTCTATGATTTATGGATTTACAGGAGTGACCAATTTTGAAGAATTAGCCAAAATTTTGACTGGTGCAAGGAACATGAGTATGGACGAAGCACAGAAATCCAGAATGCAAAATCACACTGAAGTCCAAGTAGTCAAAGCCAAAGCAGATAGCACATGGAACCGAGTAACCATCCAATTGAGAATGATACAGAAGAATCGTGAGTCAAATTTCCATGCCCAACAGGGCAACACCAACAGCATAACCCAAATGTAGCTCTCTCTTGTGAATGGCGCCAGGCGCCCTATCTACTCTACAGCCTATCCTACAACTACAGCAATGAAAAGCAACCAAACAACTTGACTACCAGCGAGTGATGATGTCAACACCAATGCCGACCTCCACCTCCACCAGGTACGTGTCCTCTTCCCCACACTCTCCCTTGTTACCCACACAGCGCCCTTCACCTCCGAAGTACCACCTTCGCCCTCACCTCCCCTGCGCCTGCCAGCAGCCCGGCTATGGCCGCCAGCGCCGTGCGCCCAGGCAGCGCTCCTTCGCATTAGCGCTGGCCTGCCTGCTTGCGCACAACGCAGCTTTACACAGCGCAGCACACGTGCACTTGCGCAGCGTGCCGGCAATGTCTGCATTGGCTAAGATCCCTGCACCCTCGCCCTGCTTGCCTATATCCAGTGCAGCGTGTGGGCGGCCTCCCTTCAGCCTGTGACCGGGACCCAGAGGCTGAAGCCAACTCGGTACAGTTGGGCCCCGGGGTAATGCAGTTGCGCCTCTTTCATCAAGGCCTGCGGCCAGATTCAGATAGTGGGCCGATTTCCTTTTGGCATTTTCGGCCTCTCTACCCAGCATGCATTGTCGGCCTCACGTTCGGGTGCCCAGGGCCTAACTAGCTCAGAGGCCCTGGGCTTTCAGTATTTGCGGAAATCCGAGACTCGGTGCACTCCAACCAACTGGCGTGCTGCAACTGTATGAACCCCACTTCGTGAAATGTTGGCACAGAGGGCTCTTGTTGATTTGCTGGCCCGCCTTCACTTAGGGCGGGCACGAGGCTTGCTGGGGCCTTAGCCCAAAACATGTACATCATGGCAAGGCCCCTACTTGAGGGCTCAATCCTCACACTGGTTATGAAATGACTTTAACCGCCTGAAGTTGTTTCACATATAGTCTCTGAGGATCCTACACAGACATATGTTGGTTTCCTACGGATCATGCCCATTACATTTCAGTACATGTATCGAATTTGACACACAAAACAAAGGGCCGAAGGCCAGAGCACGTTCCCGCATATAGTGAAATTTTATTTGAGCCTAGACAACCCAACTCACGTCTTTAAACCTTTGACAGATTGTGGGTTTGAGGTACATAGATAAGTGGTGCTTTGTAACTTTTTGTGAAACACTGACTTTCATCAAAGCATTCCACTTGCCTGGTTTTTAGCTTTTTTTTTTAATAAGTCGTGATTTATAACTTCATAATGTATATAACTAATAACCGAAAGCATCCCACTTTTCGTATTTAATGCCAGCAATGTTGTCATGTGTACAAACATGGAACATACTCATTTTTCTACATATATATGTATGGTGTTTGTGGGGGGGTCCGGGTTTTTGGGTTAGGTGGGGGGGGTCTCGTTTGCGCTATGTTGCACATGCACGGTTGGCAATACATAGTTGATGAGAAATGTTGCGCATGTTTGTATTTTGTGTACTGCAGAATTGCAGCGCGACCTCCTACGATGGGAGGGAACACTGTCATCTGCGGATTGTTCTGCTCAGCGAGTGTGACAAACGATGAAAGAGCGAGTGTGACAAAACGATGAAAGAGCGAGTGTGACAAACGATGAAAGAGCGGATTATTACCGAACATCGAGTCCTCTGCATGTAAATGTCGCTGCTGAAGAAGAAGAGTATCGTCACCGCGACAGACTGGTCACTCGCCATTTTGTTGCCGTGGTTGGGGGCGCACTTGTTCTGCAATTGTCAACCGACATGTGAGTCCCAGCCTATGGTGCCAGGTAAGTGCCTCTCCTGCAGGTATGGCCTCCGCCCCTCTGCCTCCCTATCCTCTACTACTAACCTCTCCGCGCAGTGCTAAGCAGCACAGCTCTAAACCAGCAGTGTGTCACTGAAGAAGTGAGCTACTAGAATTGTGTGTCCGTCTGGCCGCGGCCCAGCTAGCTATAGCGCTGGGCCGGCTGGTCTGCCTACCAGTGCCTACCTGTGTGGCCTCGACGTGTGCCCAAAAACCTGGGCCTACAGGGTCTGGGTCCCGACCGGACGTCCAGACCCTGTATCTGGACCGGTGCGGCCTGCCTACCAGTGTACCCAGCCCAAGGTACCGCCTTGGGGCAGCAGGTCTGAAACGACGTCTGAATGGACAAAAGTAGGACAGCAAATAAATAAATAAATAAATAATAAATGCTGCCTCAACTCGTACATTTGGCCTGGAAGGCTGCCGTGGGCCTCCAGGGCGCATGTCGGATGAGCATGCGGCCTCCAGGGCCTCTCAGCAACCGTCGGACCCCTCAAATGGGCCCCGTGTGCAGGCGCAGCATGTAACAGTTCACCATCCCACTGTCTTGCTGCCCAAGTTCACCGGCGTGTCTCAGAGGGTGCAGAACCTGCTCCCCATGTTTTTGGACGTCCTGGCGATTGTTGTGGATTGCATCCATCAGCAAGGACAGGTCATCAGCAAACAGGGAGCAAATGGGATGGCTTTCTCTGGGATGCTGTCACCTGGATTCGTGTCACAGTGAGACCTTGGTGTTCTCCTAGGTTTGCAGCCAATGCTTCATGATAATTATGGACAGATATGCGGCTGTAGGGTCTCCTTTGCCAGGCTGACCTCTGAATCGGGACCTCTGGTGCGAGAGGTCCTGGACCATTGATTTGAACCCCGGTGATTGCTGTTTGGTGCACAATTGATACCCGCCTCCTGAATCCTGCTCCTCTGTTGGTTGCGCTTTTCCTAACATCAGTCCAAGAGGTCCCAATCTACATGGTCGTAGGCCTTCTCAAATTCAATGAAGATCAGCCTGAGGGCTGCATCAGCTATATCTTGCCACAATACTCTCGGAAGCTCAGTGATGAGCAAGATATTATCTTGGACATTGCGTCTGATCAGGGTGAATCACTGTTTCTATTACTAGCCCTTTCAATCTGTGTGCCAACAAAGGTAATGAGATGCCACTTTCAAAAGAGGAAAAGAGAAAGGAACCGGCCACAACCAGTCCTCCAACGCATCCACTGTAATCGGAAAGATATTGAGAAAATTATTAGCATGACCCATCTGAAAGGATGGCACCCATAAATCAAGATATGCTCCTTATCAAAAAATTGCCATGACCAACGGGTTTAGCTCAGTCGGTACTACTACACCCATAAACTGTTGAAATGCAGATGTGAGTTCGAGTCCAGATGGAACCAGATGAGCTTCAAATGCCTAAATTACCTAGGGACAGTCAGTTTCGTGATGATATCTCAAGGCTGTGTCGCCCTTTATTTAAGAAGGGAAGAAAATAAAGAAGGAAGAAGAAAAGAAACATAGAAGGAAGAGGGTGGGGATGCCGTGAACTGGACGCTGATGCCAGACTGGACACACGGACTGGATGCCTGCACACGGACTGGATTCCTGCACCATTCTCACATATCCCTCCTCTTCCTTGGGTAAGGTCCTGCTCACCTGGATTATTGGTTTCTGGCCATAGATTAAGAAGAAAAAGATTGACARCCACAAGTGAAGAATCAGGACAAGTAGGGCCTGTTCAGGGAACACAGAACCACCGACGTCATTTTGGCCTGTGTAGAAGGGAGGGAACAAGAAACGAAAAAGGGAGAGTTAGGCCGGCAAGTAGGCCCTTTAGAAGGTGGGGAAAGCAACAAAAAGGAAAAGAGAAGAGTAATACTGGCAGGTAGGCTGTTGCAGATAAACGAAAAAGGTGACAAGGTTGTTAAGGGGAGACAGACAGACAGACAGACAGACAGACAGAGAGAGAGAGAGAGAGAGAGAGAGAGAGAGAGAGAGAGAGAGAGAGAGAGAGAGAGAGAGAGAGNAGAGAGAGAGAGAGAGAGAGAGAGAGAGAGAGAGAGAGAGAGAGAGAGAGAGAGAGAGAGAGAGAGAGAGAGAGAGAGAGAGAGAGAGGGAGGCAAGTTGGCCTGAAATCCCATTAGGAAAAAAGAGTACCGGCACCTGTTCAAGAAAGTACTGACTCTATATATTTGTTACAAAATATTAATGTCTGTTTACAACTTTACAACAAACTTGAGCAAAGTTCAGCAAACTGATTACTTGGTTGACACCTCCTCCTTCTCCTTAACATGCTTCTGCCTCTGCTTCAGTGCCTGTGTTTTTAAGAGCATGGCTTTCAGCTTCTCACGCTTCTTGTCCGCCTGCTCCAGACGCTTCTGCTTCAAGGCTGCAACCCTTTGTCGCGCTTCTCTTGTCTCCACATTCACCTGCATGACAAGCCCCCCCCTCACTCTTTCAGAATTCACACCCTCTGAAGAAATCATGACGGTAATGATCACCAATGTATTTGTCGTTCACGTCTCTTTCAGCGAGACATGAAGGGTAAAGAACAGATTAAAGAAAGGAACGCCAAGAATTGCTGGTCCATCACGACCATCATCAACGCCCTTGAACAGCACACTGTAGACTCCATGTTAAACTCTGACGAAAATGAATACCAAAAACACAAGAAAACAAAAACCTCTCAACTGTCTGATTGATATGAGTGCGTTTTTGGCTCATGTTGTTCACTGTAATAAAAAGAAGCTTACAAAAAAAAAAGAACAAGATATGGGTGCGGCCCTAGGCTGAGCCACCGCCTGGCCAGGCGGGCCCGGGGGGGTCCGCCCGGGAAATCCAGGCGGCCCAAAAACCCAGCAGGGAATTCTTTTTTCCCCCCCGAAGGCGAGGTTTTCCTGCGCTACCCCAGAGGACCCCAAATCTGCAATAAAAAAGTAAACTTTGGGGGGGGCGGGGGGGGGTTCAGGGGGTTCAGGGCGTTCAGGGAGGGTTGGGGGTGGTGGTTCAAGGGGAAGGGGGGGTTGGTTGACAGTAGGTAAAAGCAGGTGCACTTTGACTGTCTTGCTGGTATGTCACACCTATAGCAGGTGTGTACGTGGACGAAGAAGAAGAAGAAGAAAAGGAGTATGACAGGACCGAAAAAAAAAAAAAGAGAAAAAGAAACCTGGAGAGAAAGCACATGTCCACATTGCTCCACAAATGATTACAAAAGTCTCTCTCTCTCTCTCTCTCTCTCTCTCTCTCTCTCTCTCTCTCTCTCTCTCTC